AAAAAAAGAAAAAAAAAGAAAAAAGAATACAGAAAAAACGCCCCGGCGAGAGAAGCGGGGGGGGGGAGGAAGGCGAGGGAGAGGAAAGGAAAGGAAAGCAGCGCGCTTTCGGTTTCGAAATTTCGGCCAAAATCAATTTGTTATGCATAACGGTCGGTTGACGGCGGTACGTCACGCGTGAAATTCGATATTCGGTGGTGTGCAGACCGCGGATCACACGGGATCGGGAACCAGACGTTGTAAAATGGAGAAAAAAAGAGGCGATGCAGAAAGAGGAAAAAAATCCTCGAGAGAGAGAGAGACGAGGACAAAAGCGCCTGCGCGTTTGTGACATAATCGCGCGAAAACGAGCTTCGTTTCGATTCTTCTTTTTCGCTGACCGATATTCCTCGTTTGCCATGAATGGTTGCAGTCTCGTTCCGCGAAGGGGACGTCTTTTTGATAACGAAGAAGCCAGTTTTAATTAAAGTCGAACGACAGCGATTGAAACGGGTCCGACACGAAACTCTCTTCGTTTGTCTCTTCGTTTTGTCTTTTGAGTGCAGCGCGCAGTCTGTTAATTGACTCGATTATATTTTTAAACCTCGAGGGATTGTCTTTTATTTTATTTCCTTTTTTTCTCACGACATACAGGGTGTCGAGAAAAAAAACGAGGATATCGATAAGAATCGTTTAAATCTGCGACTGTTCGTAGAAAAGTCGAGTTGCTTTCACTCGTCGTGAGAAAAAAAAAGAAAAAGAAAAAGAAAAGAAAAAGTACGCGTGATAAGTCTCGAAAAATGTCGCGTGTCCATACCAAATTCGTGCATGGGTGTGGCTAATGAGACGCGAGGACAGTAGCGTTGAAAGTGGTTCTTATAGATGATCCAGATGTAACAAATATCACTTTCCCTCGCATGCCGTTGAATCTCATTTCGCTCATGCGTCACCGTTCAATCTCGTTTCTTTTACCGTCTAGTCTCATTTCGAGCGATAAATATTCCACGGAGTAAAATACCGTCTCTCTCTCTCTTTTAATTCGACACTTTCGCTCATTTGTACGAGTCAATAACAACATAATCGTGATATAATGACATATGTGTTTACGCGTGACGTAACATTTTATGCGAGCATAATTGCATCTTGCAAAAATGCATTAAGCCTGTTGCCTGTTGCCAAATTTTCAGCAGGCCAGTTTTATTTTATTTATGCCCTCATCTTTAGACGTAATTGCGAAATCAAATGATATAAAAATCTCTATTAACACGATGCATTTTATGTTATAGTTTTTTTTTTTTTTTTAATGCACAGATAACACGGTGTTTTGAAACA